AAGTGATATTTTAATCCAAGAGCGAAACAAATTGTACCCAATTGAAGAGTCCAATTTTGTAAATTGAGTTTATAAAAGGAATTACTAAAAATTAATTCGTAACCCAAGGCCTTGTGGCGATATCTCTCAAAGTGGATGGTGAAGGTTTATGTCACCAAATGAACAAAATGAATGTGTGAGTGATGTGTGTGAATTTTTTGTCAATGACCCAAAAAAAAAATTTACCAAAAAATCATAAAAGACAATAACATTAATAAGGTTTTCTTACTGGATATATATATATATGGCTACCAAATGTTGAATGCGGGTTTTGGTTTCTTGTTGCTTTTTGGATAAAACAAAAATTCATGAATAATGTTGATGCATTGATTTTTGAAGGTATTACCAACAACTTCAGAAGGGTGGTTAAATTTGGTATTATTCAAGGACCAAGTTGGTAGAAGGTTCAGCTCTCCGAACAAATGAGCCTCGATATGAATCCTCCTTTCCTAATTTGTCAAAAAAAAATTCTTGTCACCAGCCAATGCACGAATGTGTATCGAGTTTCAAGCCTTCTTGGTTGAATTTTCTAATTTTCAATTCTAAACATTCAATTGAAAAATGTCTGCTTTAAAACACTGAGCAAACAGACTCTCATGCTTCATGAGATTTATTTATCCTCTAAATTAAATAAAGAAAAATGATAAACCAGACTACCAGTCAAAACATACCAAAAACCGTTAAATAAATAAATAAAAATAACATGCTCCAGATTTTCGAATAGAATCATGCGCACAGCTTGGTTAGTAAATCCATAAAAAAAATACGTGAATTATACATGTACGTATAGATTTTAAAAATATTTACGTTTGTAGTTCAGTCTTCAAAATACGATAAAGTACGCGAATTTTATGACTTTCTATGTCACCGTTTAATCCCAAGCGTTTTTCTTTCCTTGTTTATTGTGGTTCAGTCCGATATCTTTTGTCACTCAAAGCCATGATATTTACTCAATTTATGGAATATATATATATACACAGATTTTGTGAAATTTTGAAAAATTACATAGATTCTTACAGATATTTGGAGATATATATATTTTTATTTCTTTTAGATCTTCTAAATTTTGTTTCTAACCGTATATATTTATAAATATTTATTTTATTTTATTTTTGAAAGTTTATAAACCTTTCAGCAATCGAAATCAGTCAGGAACACTATTAGAATTTAAGTATTTACATAAATATGTTATGTGAGCTTCTAATCTAATTTAATTTAAAATTTTATGTATAGGTTATCAAGAAAAGATGAAAAAAATAGAGCAAATTTTTATTTATTTTTAGATAAACATAGTTGATTATTTGAATTTTTTTTATTAAATTTGTGATGGAACTTATGATATCATGATTAATTATATTTATGTAGTTTATTTTTTTTATGGTTATTGTGATAGTGTCCATTTGAATAAAATGAAATTTTATTTCATTATTTTTTTTTACGCTTTCTTAATTATTTTATTATTTGTTATATTTTTTTAACGTCTTTAGAAGGATATTATATATATATATATATATATATATATATATAATATGTGTATAGCCAAATTTTGGGTTTCGAATTTTTAATCCACACAAGTATACAACATATTATACACCTATTGCAGCTGATTTTTTATAACTTTTTTATTTTTGTTTTACAAAAATCGAATTAAATTCTAGCTTTTCAAAAAAAAAAATTCCATACAGTATTTTACTATGGGTCAAACTTACAAGAAAATGAACTATTCAACTACAAAACAAGGTTAACCCTTCAGAGTTGGCCTAGCGGGTGAGAATTGGGGTTTTGATGCCTCATAAAATATTAGGTCTTCGAACATCTGAGTAAGCAATTTTTGTGAGATACCCACACGAGTTAAGTTGTAGTCAAACTAAATAATAATAGACTTACCCGGCGCATGTGGCTTGTGGGGTGTTTCGTGTGCCCTCAGTGAATAAAAAAACTACTAGAAGGTTGCATACCTTTCTGTACGCTCTAAGGTCCAAGGATGTGGCCACGTCATCGAGAGTAATAGTGAGGGCATACTTGTCAATTTATATCCAAAACCTAATAGAAAACTTGGAAGTAGACCTGTCGAATCGGATTCGGACCGGATCAACTGATCTGATCCGATCCGATTCGATAATCCGATGGATTATTCTTTAATCGATTCATGTCCAATACTCATTTTATCGGATGTTTGATCCAATAAATCTAATCCGATTATAAACTTTATCTTTTGCATTTATACAAACATAAATTACGCAAATTGATTCAATATTCAAAGAAATTAGATACCAAATCTATAATAAATGATTTTTGCTACTGAAAATATCGATCATATCTTCCATGTAAAGGTGAAACCGTGAAACAAAAGGATCAAAATTCGGATAAAAAAGATAGATTGAAATGGGTCCAGTAACAAATAATCAGAATCTCCATAAATGAGAAAAAGAGAGATAGAAGGAGAAAATAAGAAAATTCTGAAACAACTTTTACTTTTGAAAGATGAAAAATTAGGATTTGTAATAGAGAAAAGAAAATAAAAAATAGGCTTACACATTCATTTCCCATTCCCCATTGTGCTTGTAATAGAGGGAGAAGAAAAGAATCAGAACTTCCTCCTTCCCCATCGCGCGTCAATAGATGACTCTTCTTCACTTTCGGTTCTATCTAGAACTGGAAGCACGTTATAGACTTACGGTGCCGTCTATGGAGTTCTCGCGTCTTCAATGTATTGATATTAGGGGTGTGATCCTATGTGCGTGAGGACCCGTAGTAGTGTTGTAAATATAACATTTTAATTATGGTTTTTCGTTACATAATTTACATTTACACAAATCTAATATTTGAAAGATATATATATATATATATATATAATGTAAATATAATTATATATTATTTTAGTCGGATCGGATTAACCCAAATTCATATCCGATTTGTTAAATTAACGGATTCGGATTATTATCGGATTATCGAATTTTTCACTCAATTCATATCCAACTAATTGGACCGGATTCTAATCGAGATCCGATCCATTGACGGGTCTACTTGGAAGTGCAAATCTTAAAATGCTCTCTCTAACCAACCATGTAGAAACTAGAGAGAGAACACACAAAATGGCGTTGCTTAGAAAAGCTGCCAGGGCATTTGCCATGTCCCTCCACCACCACCTCACTGCTTTTTCTCGTTCTGCCTCACTCCTTCAGCACAGGCCATCCCTCCTATCCCCAAAAGTCTTTCAGTACTCATCATCTTTCTCACTCTAAATTTCCACGTTACTGTTTCCTTTACATATATATATTTATATATATATATGTTCATATACATATAAGTATATATTGATATTCGGGTTTTGGATTTCGGATTGCTATTAATCAATTTTGGTTCCTTTTGGATCATCCATCGATGTGTTTGTTTAAACGCTTATGTGGAGCTATCAATGAGAAAAAAGTGTTGTCAGTACAGCATATATGCTAGAGACTAGAGTTATGTTATGATTCAGTTGGATTTAATTTTTGTGTGTATTCAGATCAATAGACCGTTAATGTAACGACTCATTGCACCACATGGTATGATATTGTTCGGATGACTCTGGAAGTTAATACACTGTCAGACTACCACACTGGCGAGATACGGGTGCACAAATCCCACATTGCCTGGGTAGAGGAAAGGTGAAGTACTTATATGTAAGTATGTTATCTTCAATTGGTATGAGGTCTTTTGGAATAAAACTCAAGAGCAAAACCGCGCTGGCTCAGGCTCAAAGCGGACAATTAACGAGCCTAATTGTATTTTTACAGAACCATGGTAGTCTAGTATAAAGCTCAAGAACATGCCATTGTAGACTTATTGTATAAAACTACAACACCATTGATATTATGATACCCATCGTTGAAAAATCTGAGTCAGAGTTTGAGACACCTATAATTTCCTATTGCTTTTTGAGGGGACATTCAAAAAAATTTATAATGTTAGGTTTTTTGGAATTGTAGGAAGTTTAATTTTAGTTTAAAATATCTACTATATTTTTTTTAATCCCAAATTTAAGACAGTGTGAAAGCGATATCTGTTGAGAAGAATTGTGTGATTTAGAATTAAGGAACAAAGCTGCATGTAATCATAACTTACACTTTTAATACAAAATATAAAGGGTATACAGTGCATTTAACGATATGCTTTTTCAGCGAGATAGCAAATTATTATTTTTTCTATATTATATTTATTCATTTTTATGTCGTGATAATACATTAGCTATAATCCATAAGTTGTTGATTGGTACAATAGATAATATAATTGACACCCTATTTTTTCCTTTGTAAATTTGGAAAACTACTTGGTATTTCAATCCGTTAAATATGAATGTGATTAATGGTTTGAGACTCTTACACGTTCAAACTTTATTATAGTAAATTTGTGGAGAAATTACAGTGATCTTCTTAAAGTTTGAATAAATTATATACTAGATAAATTATTTGACTTTTATTACTTTAACCTCCTCTTAGAACTTGGCATGTGAAAAATTCAAAAAATGAATAAGTTACTGTTTTCTTGTGTTAAAAGACATCAAAAAATTTATATTTTGATATGAAATAACAAAAATATTATGAAATGCCATTGAAATGCAAAATGTCAATTTTCACACCAATTTCATATTATTTAATTTTACAAAAATACTATCAGTGTTTACAAGAAGGAAAAAAAAGGGTATTAATATTAGAGTCTTTTGGTTTGACGAATTATTTATATTAAACTATTAGTATTAAATTAGACTATGGTAAGGAGGAGGTCAAAAGGCGAAATGTTCTATCTATCTATAATTTGCTCAAAATCGGGAGGTTAGTGTAACTTGCCCAAAAATAAATTTGTTTCCTTTCAAATTGAAATTAAAAAATTTCAAATATTTCCAATTTCAAATCTGGTTGGTTCCAAACACGGAATAATTTCTTCTCAAACAAGCACGGTTTATTCTGTAAATAATACGACACCGTGTTTCACCGTCTTGAAGCTCGCGAATTCGCAAGACCCTATCCCTCTTCCCCCAAACCCTGGTAGGCTGGTGCCCACCCATCTGCACACTCTCCTCAACCTTCACTGCAACTTCAGGCGAGAGAAAGCGAGAAGGAAGAGTAGAGAGGGAGAGGGGGGTCTTCTCCTATTAGGTTTCACAAAGGTTAATCCAGAGGAGAGAGAGGATGTCGTCGACCCTACTGGAGGTGACTCGTGGGGGTCACGAAGAAGTCGAACGGCTAGAGAGACTCATCGTGAAGGATCTCCAGAACGAACCAGCAACGAGCAAGGATCGCCTCTTCCAGAGCCACCGTGTTCGCAAGATGATCCACCAAATTACCTCGACAACGCACAAAGTCGTAAGTTTTCTCATTCTTCTCCATTGTGTTTGTTTTCCGAGAAACCTGTTTCCTTTTTTGATTTCCTTGCAGTTCTTTCATTTTCCTGACCACCAGTTGGTATTAAAATGGTCAATTAGTATATTTGAGTGCTTCCTCTTGCGTAAATTATTGGGTTTGTCGCAGATTGAGGTTTACGATGACAAAGATAATGCGAGGAAGGATGAGATTGCTGCTCTTGGAGGCCAGACAGCCACTGGAACGAACGTGTTTAGTGCATTTTATGACAGATTAAAAGAGGTAATCACTAGGGTTTTGTACTTTTGTCACTGGTTTTATATAATATCTAGGGTTTTGTACTTCTGTCACTTGAACTTGAGGTAAATTGATTTCAATCTCTTGATAATTGGATGTTTAGTTTAGGTATAAAATAGAAAGATATTTGAACTTGAGTTTATGAAAGTATTAGCTATTGGGTTTGCTTCAGCAAGTCACTTAGGTTTACTATAAAACTTGAAGATGTGAGAGAGGGGTTGTGTATCTTTATATCCCTACTTTTTCATGTGCGAACTTTATCTGAATTGCTTCTATATGCCAATTCTTAATGCAATAATTGTAATATGTCCAGATTCGTGAGTACCATAGACGTCATTCTGCTGCACGTGTTGTCGATGCCAATGAGGAGTACGAGGAGCTACTCAAAGAGGAACCACGGATCGAGTTCAGTGGAGAGGTCTGTATGTGTGTGCATATGTGTGCACTGCGGCATGTTTCTCTGTGCATGTGCAAACTACATTATCTTCTGATTTTATATGACATGCAATATTGGACTATATGCACTATGACATAAAAAAATGCCTAACATCGTTTTGGAAAAACTCTGCATGATGACATTTGGAAATCAATAATGCTGTTAAAAAATGTTTAGGTATGAATTTTGTAACTCTATGCTTACTGTGCAAAAGTGTAATGAATGATGCAATTACCATATCTTAACGTTAACTAGTTTGTTGCACAGCATCATGACTTCTATTTTGATAAACTTACTACTGTTTCATTTTGTTTCCCCTTAAGAATCCTGATTATCACTTTGTGATATGGCATTAAACCTCAACGGACAATTTGTGAATAAATTGAACTACTTTCATAATTAGTTTAATAATTGATGGATATTTATAATAGACATCCTTCCTTCTTCTTCTTCTTCTTCTTCTTCTTCTTCTTCTTCTTCTTTGTTTTTTGGTAGGTTAGGGTCATACACCAGCTATGCCCATGGTTTTGAGACTCGGCAAATCTTTATGTATAGGCTGAGTCGTAATGAAGTTGGCTAAGTCCAAGTCTGATATTCACCGATATATTGGAATTTGGATCTCATCATACTAGTCTTAGTCATTAGGGACTTGGCTGACCCATCACAGCTTCCGATGGTTTGCAACATCTAGAAAAATTCACGATCGCATCTTCTAGTACAGTTATGTAATGCTCATTACACCCCTTGCCCATTACACTGAGACTGCATTCGCTTCTCTGACCGTGACGTAAAACCTTATTTTGATTCTATGGGGAGTTGGACACTTGACTTCTCATGTAGAAGAGGATGAGATACAATTTGAGTTGTGGCTGAGTGGCAAGTTAGGCATGCTTAGTAGAGAAAAAATTTATCACAGTGCCATAATTTTGACGTTATACTAGCTCTCTCTCTCTCTCTCTCTCTCTCTCTCTCTCTGGTTCATATTGCACATCAGATTAAGCTTATATTTCGTTCATTATAGTCAGTGATGTTTTCCTTCTGCTTTGCCTTTAAAGTAAAGCTGGTTCCTGTAGTTGCTTTTGTAAGTGCAATGTTTCCCCGTATTGAATGGACAATTTTTTTCATTTTAATTTTTTTTTTGGTTGAGACTTTATCTTTTGCATTTAACCGAACCATGGCAGTAGTGTGCCTTATCATTCAACTTGTAGTCTTATGAAATTCATGTTTCATGGTCCTCAATTTATTTGAAATTTCTTTTTCAGGAAGCCTTTGGACGGTATTTAGATTTGCATGAATTATATAATGTTTATATCAATTCTAAATTTGGGGAGCCCATTGAGTACTCTGCTTACCTTGACGTTTTTTCACAACCACATAAGATTCATCGGAAACTGAAGTTAACAAGGTAAAATTCTCTCTCTCTCTGTGTCTCCCTCTCCCTCTCTTTCTCTCTTTCATCCCAATGTAGATGGTTCATCCTATTTTTAGTTTGCTTTAGCGATTTATTTTGGCTACATCTTCAGTTTGCTTATGCATGTTATTAGCGTTATCTCCCTCTTAGGGGTATTTTAATGACCGGTTCTGTAGGAACCGGATGATTCTATTTGGTCAAATACATAGCAATAAATCTCATATGTTCCTTCAATTGTTTGCATGATTAAAGATCTTTATTTTTATTTTTTTCTTTGGTTTCAGGCAATACAAGGAGTATTTGGACAAACTAATGGGGTATTTAATGCATTTTTTTGAGCGGACAGAGCCCTTGCAAGATCTTGATAGAATTTTCTCAAAGGTTCAAATGCAGAAGAACTCTTTTCTTTTAGTTGTATTGTTTTGTTATTAAGTGGCTAGTTATTTGTAGCCATGGCATATCTTTTTCCTGCAATTTTTTCTTCAACTGATGGAGAAAATATCAAATCCTAAAGTAAGGAGGAATTATTAAAATCTTTTAGTTGCATCAACAGTGACTAACTGCAGCAAACAAAATTCAGAAAATAGTCTTTTTACAATAGTAAGATAGCCTAGAGCCACTCCAATCACCATTGGGACCTAGATTTCTAAAAAGAAATTGAGGAAAATCCTGAAGAATGGCTTGTGAATTGATAACATCTCGAAATTATATTGATTAAGACTTGTTACAATAAATAAATAAAAAAGTGGGTTGTCCTTTTACAAGATCTAATAAGGACTTTTAATGTAAGGGCGGGCATATTTTCTTTCACGTGTGGCCTTTCCTTTAGCTTCATTGACATCGGCGAACTTGTTCTTGCTTTGTTTGCCCACCTCGACAAACTTTAGAACCCCCTTTCAGCATTAATAGTATCTTTTCACTTCCCTAAGTAATCACCTAGTAATCCACAAGCTTAATTACTACTCTATACTGAGAAAAAGAGTGACTTTGGAACAGCTAGCTTGGTGTTGTGAGCTTGACTTCATGTTATTGGTTGGGGTGGTTTTTCATATGGAAGATGAAGACAAATTCGTCATATAAATTACTCTTGGAATGTGCCTTTCTCAGTTTCAGATATTTTTTCATGTGTTATTTTCTGAAAGTTCTGTCTCGTGGCAGGTAATAACTGAATTCGAGGAGCAATGGGCTAATGGCAAGGTACAAGGTTGGGAGAATGAGGGTCAAGAAAATGGACCCATTCCAGTTCAGCCTACTGTAATTGATCTTGATTATTACAGCACAGTTGAAGAGTTGGTGGAAGTTGGACCTGAGAAGTTAAAGGAGGTAAGGGTACTCCTTTGTAATTAGTAGTGCAATTTATTGATACTCTTTTAGTTAGTTGTTCTCAGTTATTCAAACTTCCAAAATTCATTTTCTGAAGCCTTCGTTTTCCAAGTTTATGGTCTTTTTGGATTAATTAAATGTTTGGTTGGAAGGAAGGATTGAGGAAGGGTGGAAGAGAGAGTATGGATAAAAGAAGATTCCCTTGTTGGGTTGGAAGGAAGGGAAGAGATGAAGGAAGCAAGGAGGGATGAAACATCCCTCTTACCCACCTTTTTTCATCCCACCCATAATTGGGCGCAAGAGCGGACAAAAAGATAGAAAAACTAATCTGTAAATTTTAAATGTCATTTTTAGCCTTCAATTATCTACAAAATTATAAAAACTCTACTTCTCTTTCTTTCTATCAGACAAAATAAGGTGTCACATTTTCCATCCTTTCCATTATCCCTTCCATCTAACCAAACAAAAAGTGAGGGAGACATCACCCCTTTCCTAGAGATGTCTCCTCCATCCCTCCTACGAAAAGGAGCATAAAGGATTTAAACTGAGGATGGATCTATTACATACTAGAGCGCCACATGCTATGTACCCAGTGAATGGTTAGTTGAGTAGGTTGTTGGGGTATAGTGGAGGGAACTGCTGTGATTGCAAATGGTTCCATTGTGTAATTTTTTTTCCCAAACAATGGTAACAGGGATAGAAGAAAATACCTTTTTCTTTAAATGCACTAATTTTAACACACACAGCAGTGTTGTGAACCAACTATAGTTTAGTGGCTCCCAGACTCTTGTCTTGCTAGAGTCTTGAAGTTGGGCATTCATTTACTCTTGGAGCGTCTGTTTCTTTGGCAAGCTTATTTGTGTGTGCATTGCTTACATACATGGTCTAAATGGTAGGCTTTTGTTCTTTTGGGGAGCTTTTGCTTTTGTTATTTTGGACTGAGGTCTATTAATGAAACAATGCTAATAGATGTTGATGCCTAAACATGAATTGGGTATTCCATGTGTATTGAAGTGTCCACTTAGGATAGCTGAAAGCATATGGATTTAGTACTTGAGTACCTAAAGAAATGAAAATGCACCTTCCTTCCTTTTTCTTTGATCTGACCCTCCTAGTCAAGGTTCTGAATTGGTTCTTTTAAATTGTATTCCTGGTCGGGACTAAATTGAAGTTTTACAGAATTTTATGCAGTTTGATGAAATACAGGCGCTGTATCAAAATATCTGACAGGATCAACATCTCTATTTATTAAATTTTTAGACATCTTTAAATTAAATTTGAACATTATAATCTAAGAAATTAAAATAAAACTTGATTTCTTGGTTTGGGTGTTTACAAATGTTTCAGGGCCTCATTAGTATCTCTAAATAGGTTGTGTTGATTGTAACATGAAAACCTTTTTGAATAGAAAGAACGTTTTTTTTTTTTTTTTCCCCCTTCTATGTGCCGTTTCTATCTATTAGTTACTACTGTATAATTTGCCTGGTAGGCGTTGGCTGTGCTAGGACTGAAGACGGGTGGTACTGTTCAGCAGCGTGCAGAGAGGCTTTTCCTTACAAAGGTAATTGCACTCCTTCCTTTACCTTACCAGTCTTGTATTTGTATAGTTAACATCTTTTATTTTCTTAGAGTAATTGTTGGCTGGCTCCTTACAGTGATTTAAACTCTTAACTTGTCTATCAAAATCGGTACAGTGATAGAAATTGTTTGATTTGGGCTCATGATGGGGTAATATGCTATTTTCACCTTATATCTGATTAATTAGTCATAGGTCTTAAAGCTAAATTCAGTCACAAAGTTCAGTACCCAGGAAGTTCTAGTTGACATATTACACTTATAATGATTTCTACAAATTTGGAGGTGGTTGAGATGGACGACATTGATAGGTTTAGGTAATAATGAGTAATAGTGACAGATTCTTTAGAAATCTGACATAGGCATTCATACATGTACATGACTTGGAACATAATTTAGATCTTTATTTTGAAAAGTGCCATCTAGCTCTATCAACTCAAGATATGACCAAAAATGGCCAATTGGGGAAATACAAGGTTTGATGAAAGAAATGGTTAGACTGATTATTGGACCTCTGTCACATGGAACTTTGACATTTCAATGGTCCTGATGTTATGCATTTCACATGTCTATGGGTATTTGATATTTGTCTAACATGCGTACTTGTGGACTTGTACTCCATAACTGTCCGAAAAGGAATATAGGTACACTATTTCTAGTGCACTAAGAAGTTTCTCAGGGTAGTTTAACGGGGATTAGCCCCTTAAAGGGGTGTATATACTTGGCATGAGAAAAGGAGAAAAGTTCACTTGGACCTGCAAATCGATTGCTGGCTCACTGTAATTATTTAACCATCGGAACTATTTTTTGATGGGTTTGATTGCATGGTGTTGGGATGGTTGGAATGGATACAAACCTAAGCTTTTGGTATTCATTGAACTACATATTCATTGTTTATTTTAAACTTTTAAATAGTTACCAAGAAGAATATAATGGTTAGAGGTCTTAGACACTGAAATATCTATTGGATCTCGCGTTGAAGCTCCATAGGATCTTGTGGATTAATGACCTGCATGGTGATAGACCTTAGTGGCTTGACCTTCAACTGCTACAGTGATTTGTTAGTCTAAAAGAATGAGACGGATCAACATTCTTATGAAGGCTAAATTTGGTACTATAGTTTAATATTTTTATTTTTCAAAATATAATTTTTAGGAGTAGACTCCAAGTCTCAAACATGTTTCAATTTCTAAAATTGTGCAACTAAACCATGGTTTACAAATTCAATCTACTTCATACACCGGATATGGCCTAATTTCCCATTTGAGTGCTTTTCAACTTCACTTTATTCTCAAGTTTTTTTTTTCTCTATTTAAGAATTCAATTTGACCTGCATATTCATAGCAATCTCCATTCCTTTTCTGCAGCACACGCCTCTTGAACAGTTGGATAGGAAACATTTTGCCAAAGGTTTACATAGGTCAGAGCAGAATGGCATTGCTGCAGCTCCACGACAAGCTGACAATTCTAAAGAAATTGCCTTGATGGAAGCCAAGATGGAAAAATTATGCGACTTACTGCATGAGGTTAGGATTGCTGCATACTGTACTACTTTTATCAAAAGCGTCCAAAGTAATTTTTTAATCCTTGTTTTACTAGCTGTACTAATAATTACAGAGAGCAAGGGAGGGAGGGAAGGCTATTGAAGCCATGATTTACTCACCTCTTGTGTATTTGTAGTCTCCATTCAAACATCACTGTGCATGTGGAAACATCATTGTGAATGATTGAAGATGTAACCTATCTGGAGTCTGGTGACTGCAATTTATATTAAAAAATTATGCCCGTTTTGCAGACAATTTTGCGGACAAAGGAAAATGTTGAGAAGAAACAGGCTTTGACATATGAGGAAATGGAAGCAGAACGTGAGGAGGTGATATAAATTATTTTATTGTATTTTTTATTTCCCTTTTTCCCGTCCTCCATAGAGTTATACGGAAGAGTTGTTTCTTATATTTTCTTAGTGGTTGCTGTATTGATGTTTCTAATGCAGCTTTAGTATGTAGTATGTGTCTATTCTCAAGAACAGAGTTTCGAAATGTTAAAAACTGGCTCTAGCTTTTTATTTATTTATTTATTTTAATTATTTTATTTTATTCAATTGAGTTGAGTTTGAGAATTTGAAACCTTTTCTTATATGGCTGTAACCTTAACCTTGGGGGGGGTTTGGGTTTGCTAAGGAATTTTAGGTGGAATTCCTAGATTTTTCTTTTTCTTTTTCTTCTCTTTGATTACGATTCTTGAATTATTATCCACAAAACCAGAAGTGTCCTTATTCCATTACCAAAACTTCACCATTTTAACCCTTAATTAATCCTAGTTATTTCTTTTAACGTTGAATATAACACCATAATCATATGAATCTTGCTGTCCAGAATCTTTTGCTTATGGTGTCAACAACCAATTGGTTTAAAACCAAGCAAACTCCATCCCTTTTCAGTCCACAAGTCCTCTTAACTTCTTCCTACTCTTATAAACCCTAAACCTACAACTTTTCTTAATTCTAATCCACCATAAACCTAACAGTAAGCTGCATTAATTTGAGTTTCCTAGTGATGTCCAATGCCAATGGTCACACAAGATAGGGTATTGATGCTGCTGGCCACTACCAATGCTGCTTATTCTTCTTTCTTCTGTCAATTGAAATAGAATAAAGATTTCAATTAAAATCACTTGATAAGGTGAACCAATTTAGATTATTTACTCTAGTTACCCCATTTTTGTAATATTTTTACACATCCCTTTAACCCACTTCTGCATATTTGTTTCGCACTTCACATGAATACATTCACATTTATTCATTTTTTATTAATACCCAAGTTCTTTATTATGTATGTGTAGACAGCATTGATTTATTAGCACACATAGCTTGTCCTGAAATACTTTTAACCAGATTTTTGTAAGTACATACCGAACATGGAACACCACTACCTTTTTTTTTTTTTCCTTCTTCCTTTCAGCATTATGCTTATGTTCTGAATAACAAGTGCACTATTTTCAGGAAAAAAGGTGTTGCAAGCATAAAAATTATAGTCACTTATAAGTATTGCCGTGTGCTGAGTGTCGTTGATGCCTTACTTTCTTGAGACACAGCGCGCCTGTATTGTGTGATATCCTGTCATTGTCATGCTTCATATGTATAATGTGGTAATAGTTGATAACATACGATGTCTTGTTACAATTCATGAGTAGCATCACTGTTGGCACATCCTTTTTCAGATTTCTTGTTTGATAAGCATTGTGCTCAGATTAGTTATCCAGTTGTTAGACAATACCTTATAAGTTATGAATAATTTGTAGAATTGGTTGTAGAATTCCTTATAAACTAATAACAGTTTTTTTTTTCTTTTTTTTTTTTTTGTAATTATATTTTTGTTCTCATCATAAACGGTTATCAAATTGGTTGAATGAATATTTTTACAAGAGAAGGTTTGATGGTAGTGTTTTTTCTCTTTTTTCCCCGAAACTTTACCAAATTATACAATAATTTGGCATGGTCTATTCAGTAGCAGATGTAGGGTGTTTCTTATCCTTAATGTATGTAATAAACTCAACCTTTTAAAACCGAGTTGTACTAATGAATTGCATTGTCTCGGGACTTACTAATACCCTGACTGAAATTGGTAATCGTTGTGCACGACTGCACGTATAAGATGAAGTTTTGTCTTGGTACATATTTATGTTTTTCTTATTGAATAAATTTTATTAGGTAGATTGTTTTACTGTCAAATAAAAATGTTCTTTTGAATTTGATTTTTTTTTTCTTAACTTCAGGATGAGGTACAAGCTGACACGGAAAGCGATGATGAAGAACAACAGATTTATAATCCCCTTAAGTTACCAATGGGTTGGGATGGGAAGCCTATACCATACTGGTTATATAAGCTTCATGGCCTTGGTCAGGTAAATTTCTTACAAGTCCTTTGAGCTAATTTTTTCTCTTCTTCTATTAATATGAATTTTTTTTGCAGTAAATCAAGATTCCTGTTCTTGTCAATCTACATTTGTTCCTTATATATATATTTCTTAAATGCTATATGCTTATGCAGATATCCTTTCCCTTCAATTTGTTTTTGTCAAAAAAAAAAAAAAAAAAAAAAATTGTACTTAATCTAGAAAGGAGCTTTTCTTTATATTGGATATCACATTGATGCATTTGGATTGACATGTCTAAAAATGATAGTTGAATGATAAAGGGATGGCAATAAACCGTTTATATGCAGGTAAGCACCCCCAACCTGGTCTCAATCAGGGTAAGGACCAAAACCTGACATGGGTTCAGACTTCAGAGTGGGGTTAGTTCAAGACAGTCCACCCTACCTTTGCCCTGACCTGGTTCTTATATTACCTGGACTTCGATAAGTGTGTTGGGTGTGGGCATGTGTGTATTTGTGTCGGAACTCTTTGAATTCCAAATCTTAGGTTACGGGGATATGTGCCCAAAAGTTGGATATGGGTACGTAGACAAGTACTACACAAGTAAATGCATTATACGTTTTGGGGTAAAATGCAAAAAACCTCCTTGAACTATCATCATTCTGCAAATAGCCCACTAGTGGCAAAAAACCCCTATATACTACTAAAAGTTTTCAATTCATCCACGGTGTTAATCCTGCTGTTACTGAATAAATGAGACCACTCAAATGACTAAATTATATCCTATTGTCAAACATTGTCGTTTGCTGAATTTTTTGACATTTGCTCAACTAAATTAAATGACCCATTGACCGTCCGTTTGAAGGATGATTCACTCCATTACTTTTTCTTCCTTATTGTTTCTTCTTCTTCTTCTTCTTAAACCCCAAGGTCCCCAAGGCATATATATATATATATATATATATATATATATATATAGCACCAATTTGGTTGTTCATAAAGTGATTTTCATAAGACCTTCCTTCTCTTCTATCAGACATTCTTCACACACCCTCTCTGCTCGACTCATCTGTGAAGTCATCTTCCTTCTCGCCTCTACAACACCACACTAAAGCCTTTTATGAGAACTCTTTTACACGTTTTTCAATTGCATGCTCCAAATTTTGTTAGTTGCTTTGAGGAGACCTGTTTCTTCAAATTTAGTCCCAAGTCCTTTCGTGTGGTTCATACTGTCAATTGTTCAAGACTAATCTGTCAGCTACTTTAACGACGACACTTCATATTGTGCGGTTTATCTTTTCTTTATCGCTATACATGTATAGTGAGCTTATAGAATTGATGTATAGAGCCTCAAAAGGATTTGATTGATTATGAATTCCAATTGTATAATAATAGAGAAATCTTCACTTCTCAAAAAAATAAATAAAGATCAATAGAGAAATAATCTTCACTTATCAAAAAAAGGAGAAATCTTCCCTCAATGTTTTTTCTGATATGTCTAGAAGTGCACATTTATTTATTTTCTATTGCACCATGAGTTATCTAGCACTGATTCGATCTAATGCTCTCTTGCTTTGTAATTTTTCCCTCATTGATGATGGATACGAACCTATACAGCATGAACTTGCAGTATACAAAAAGATGGTGCTTCATGTGGATAAGCTATTACTTGCACATGGTGTTTGTTGGAAATTTTAAAGTGAATACAACTCGATTTTGATGAGTAAAGGCTTAAGATCTTTAACCTAGAGTAATGTTGTACCATGTTTTTACATTTAGACTTAACGTAACGAAAATTTAGGAGATAGGTTGGGCAGTAGTGGGTAAAGAATGGGTTAGAGAGAGGAAATGGAAAGTTGATTCTACTATAATTTGAGAAAAATCCCCCCTCTTGGGCCATTTTTTTGGTAAGCGTGGTGTTGTGATCCAATGGTGAAGCAGAAGATGATGGTTCTTGTTATATGTGTTTTATTAAAGATCAAAATTTCTGTTTCTTGCTTGTCATACTACTAATGTTATTCATTATTAAGATGCATCAAATTGTGTCATGATATAGTAATGCTTACTGCTAGAAAGTCATTTCGGGGAGTTAATTCTTGTATTTTCAACCACTTTCATTTGTATTGGATGACAGTGGCATAGTGCTTCTCTATGGACTCTTAAGACTTTCTTTTGAACGCATTACAGGAATTCAAGTGTGAGATATGTGGGAACCACAGTTATTGGGGCCGCAGGGCTTATGAGCGGCATTTCAAGGAATGGCGACATCAGCATGGAATGCGTTGTCTTGGCATTCCAAATACCAAGAATTTCAATGAAATCACATCAATAGAGGTATGCGGTCCCTGCTCTTATCTTTTGGGATGCAATATATATATCTATAGTAAATTTCATTGTGTGAACTGATCTCTAATCTAAAGTGTGTCTCCACTTGTCGCTTATACATAGAGATATGCAAGGACACATGACCTATTTAGCCAGTCAGGTTTATATTACAAGCCACCTGTTCATTCTGTCAAGCCCTAAACTTGGCGGAAAAATAAGAAAGAAGGAAAGTTTAAAAACCAATCAGTCCTTAAATCATTGACAAGTAACTGCCTGTATAGTTACTTCCTCAACTCATCTTTTGTAAATAGGAAATTGATTATTTTCTTCAAAAACAACTAAATTTGTTGTTATTTCTCAGAAAGGAAAAACTATGACTTTGGTGTCTATTTTATCTCTACAATCATTAATAATAGCATATCAGTGGTACTGTTGTAATGTTGGACTTGTGTTATGTGTGTGTGTGTGGGTGTGTGTGTGTGTGTGTGTGTGTTTGCATGTACATGATGTGTTGGCCCTTTATTGCAGCATTTATCTTAGGTTCTATTTGGATAATAGCTGGTCTTCGAGTCCATAAAAGCATATGTGGTTTCGCTAACTTTCTATAGAACATTGCGAAGGCCCGTGTTCTTATGTGTGGGAGTTTTTTGAGCTTCTGCATGATGTTGGATGTAAAATTTACTTTTGCGCCATTATCGATAGTTGGAAAATTGCAGTCATCTTCCTTTCTTGTAGTTTTAATTAATGTCAAGTCTGAAACCCCACACTCATTCCGCGTATACAGGAAGCAAAGCATCTATGGGAGAGAATACAGGAACGGTCAGGAGTGAACAAATGGCGCCCTGACCTTGAAGAGGAATATGAAGACAGAGAGGGTAACATTTACAACAAGAAGACGTACACTGATTTGCAGCGCCAAGGACTGATTTAATGATAAACAGTAGTTTCAGATCATTCTTCCTTCCAAATAAGTTTCATGGGTAATTATTGCCCCTTTTTATTTATTTATTTATTTTCATTTTGGGGATGAACCCGGAGTATGCTTAAGTGGAAATATGGAAATTCTTATTGGTCTTAGACCACTCTGATACAGGCCCCATAATGAAATTGTCGAGGCTGTAAAGCGTGATAATGATAATCAGAAGTATTTAAGTATTTTGCTATCTTCTTGTGGCATTGATTTAAACACTTTACCCCAATCAAAAAAAAAAAAAAAGGTGAAAAAAGAAAGAATTTTATGGATAGCAAATTATAGCTCGAAGTTATTCCTGCTAGGACCCTTTTTCCCCCCTTCCCCTAGGATCCTGTGTCCCCTCGAGGCATCGGTTGAATGCTCAAATCCAAACCCTTCCCTTTTGTTCAGTGTAATAATTTTCTCTAACTCTTAAAAGTGTTTGTTCTTTGTTTCTTGCTCTTGAAGCTTATATCCTCTCTTTTGAACTGTAGGAACTAGGAAGAAAGATCTCAATCAGTCAATCTGTGATTTGGATCTTTTTAATGCTTGTGGAAGGGGGAAGAGAGAAGTAAGCAGACAGATGTGTTTGGATGGTCAAGAATGGATATAATAGCATCTGTCCCCCAAATGCTCATTAAAACAAAGCAGCTTTTAAGTGAGATACTACTACTACTAGGAATGCTCAAGAGTATTTTGTAGTTGTGTAGGATATTTTTATGGAATGAAGTTGTAGTTATACCTTCAGTGGTTTATTGATTGTAATATGCCATCAACACCCTCATGCTTCAGTGGGCCACATTTTGTATCTCTATAATTGTAGGATAATTGTCTTTGGGAACTCAAGTAGTCAAGTTTTACTGATTATAGGAGCCTTTTCATCTTTTATGGACTGCAGTCTAGCTGCAAAATACCTCCTTGATCAAGGTTCCTCATCGTGATTGAACTGTATCTGGATTCCGAGTTCCGAGTTTTACGGGAATGCTCTCTTCAACATCGATATGTTCTTTTGCATTGCAATTCTTTCCTGCTTTTTGGTAATTGATATATGAGGAATATGTATGATAATTTTTTTGGGGGTAAAATGATCTGAACACCCCATCAAGTTTGCTTTTATTACTCGCAGATTAAACTAGTGAAAAAAGAGAAGAAAGCAATCCTAAAAAAGAGAAGAAAGAAAGCCTAAACAATGTCCATATAAGCTTCTTTCTCTCTTCTAAAACTCGACCAGCACCGCCTTTCCTTTCTCAGAGATCGTCCTCCTTTCTGTTCTCTTATTTTTCTACCACCAACACCGCTACCAACAGTAAACTCAGCACCTCCTCGACACCCCCTAGCAATTGCATCACCGGTAAAACATTCGTTAAAAATTCTCAATGAAATTCTTGAAATGCATACCCTTTAAAGCCAGGTAAGCCTGAATACTTGAAAGAATCCCAGAAAGGGTACTGAAAAATTAGAAACACGAAATCATATTAGGTATGGAACAACACCCATTTAATCAGAAATTTATTCAGGTTGAAACCAGTCAAAAGTTCAAAACCAGGAAGAATTAAATATATATATATATATATATAATCTTTCTTCTTTGTTTTTTTGAAAATTTATATATAATCTTGTCTTGATAATGAAATACAGATAAAACGTGAAAGACAAAGAAATTTCAAGGAAAGTGACAAACCGAGAAAGACCAATCAGATTAAACTAGAGTATAGTTGAAAAGAAAGATGGGTAAATAGGAATCATACTTGATAGAAGTAAAAGAAGGCGAAAATCATGTATGATTTCAAAACATCATTGAATTACTATATAAATCCATGAATATATATATATATGATGAAGACGTATATATGCAACAATTCCACTCTCCCTCTTCTGATCATGTAGTTGTCACCGTCACGCGGTTGAAGAAGAAAGGGTTAGCCAAGCAATGATGTATTCATTTACTTAAACAAAGGAGGGGTATATTGGTAAATTACTTTCTCCTGTCAAAAAACCAAAAAACAAACCACCGTTAACTCTGATAGGGGGTGTATGATCCAACAATTTTCGTCCAACTTTAATATGAGTGAAACTTGGAAGATTTGTCATAGCATTTTACCCCTATTTTTTTTCATGTCATTGCTTTGACATTGATTCAAAAAAATTCGTGGAATGAGCATAATGATTCACGCGCAGCCAAACATGGTAGAAATAGTTCTGTTCACATGTGACCCCACTTACATTGGTACTATGCACCCTTGTTTACTTGTGTTCTGATTTGAAGTTTGGAACTAACTCTCCATATGAAAAAAGACAGCCCTAGCTTTTCGGAGATGTACTACAGCCGCTTTCACCTGCATTGTCACCTAGTTGCAGTGGAAGTGGGGGCACCAGATCATTTCTCCATTTAAGTTTTACCACTTCCGAAATCACCTTAATAATAATAAAAAATTTATGGTGATAAAATTTACTATCATTTAGTAAAATTTCGTAGTAGTAGTGAAAAGTGCACTTCACATCATCAACATCAACACATGCTAAATTACAAGAAAATTTTACTGCTGCACAGGCTAATGGAATTCCAGAAGCAAATGTAAATAAACTTTAAATTACAAAGAAACCTAATACACAGGAAAAAATTGAATTAACATTTAATGATTAAATAAGGATGTGTGGATCAATCAATTTACAAAAGATGCCTGAAGCCGAAGAGTAGGCAAATTATAGCTTTTATTAAGCTAGAAAGATTGACAGAAGAGAACGAAAACTAAAATACACATATTTCTTTCAAAAGAAAAATGACAAAACTCAGTAAATGAACTGTGAGGTCCCGCGGGGGAGGGGCGTAAGTTAGTGCTCCTTGTGGAGAAACAATGGCTGTATTCTGTGTGACCTAATTCATGAACTTTCGGCAGTTTGGAGCTTTACACAAACACGGGACTTTGAATTCATCGCACTCATCAGGGTCAAATAAGTAATCATACCTGCCAGTTTTGCAACCAAAGATGATGGATTATGAGGTAAACTAGTAAACATCTGACAAATAAATAAAACCACCCTCCCTGCAACCCCCAAAGACACAAACATGTGCATGCAGACATGAAGACACACATAACGCGCACACAGATAGAGAGAGAGATACATACGTTAATTCATCACCAGCAGACACATTAGTCTTGGCAATGAGTACAATCCGACTCTCATCGCCACCCACACTCATGATCCTTGCATAGCAGTTGGGCATGCACTGGGCCAATAACACAAAAACAGGTAAGAAGAAATGCAAATCTGTGCATTTATTGGAGACATATAGCTCAAATGGCAATTAAATAACAGGTAATCAATAAAAAATACATGATAGGGTTATGATAATAATCTGTTTTCCTATTTTATAGATTCACCTATTTTAGTTCTTCCCTCGTTTTTTGTAAAATGTGGGAACACTTATGGACAAACATGATTGGGAACTTGCAGACAATTGCAAATAGGAGGTAGAGCAATCCTAGAGCACAAAAGAATACCCAGCTCCAATGAATTACTTACCGAATGGTTTATTAAGCGTGCAATGTTCCCTTTATCCGTGGCATCCACCACTACTTCTTCACTGATCTTAAACAGCTGCAGATTAAAATTCACCACTTTAATGCTAGGAAGAGACTGCAATATGAATTATAAAAAGAGAGAGATTTGCGTAACAATTTATGTTCATTACACCTCCAAAAGCAATTAACTCACATAGCAATCTTTGCCTTCTATACGGTACTGTGCCTCCCTCAGATCTGCAATACTGCGCCTCACCTGTTCACCACGATATTCCAGAACCTATACAAATACACATGCATGCAAAGTACATAACTTTTGTACTTTAAACCCAAAAATTGAGAGGGAGGGAAGGGGGGGAGGGAATTGCAGCCAAGTAGAATCCTTAAGACAAGGAATAACCAAAACCCTCACATAGAGAAGCATTAATGACGGGTGCACACAGACTAAGCATTATGGTTTGCAAAACATTAGTGTATGTTTGTAGTATTTGGATTATGCACTAGGTGAATAAATTTATGCAATTGATATTGCATATGAAATGAGACAACATTTCTTTCCATAGCAACTAAACCAGTCTTTATGTGTGAAGAATCACTTTATGATTTCATAAAATAGCAACATTAGCTCTTTATTATCATTTCTAGTGATGACTTTACAATAATTTTATTACAGAGCATGGAATTCTGCTGTCAAAGGCTATGGAAAACAGATTAGAGTGGCTTCGAGTCCACAGGACTTCAAAGCACACTCCAAGCCAATAGAAGTTTCATGAAGTCTGCAGAAAGCTTTCATCTGGGACTTTAAGCACTGATATGCAAAAAATAATTAATTACTAAAAAGATTGTCATTAAAGAAAAATAAGTACATACCATTTCTCCTTCTTGGATGTTTCGTCGTGCAAAGAGGCCCCAACCATGTATTCCGGATCTACCAAAGCAAACCCGATCATTTTCGGTTCTCTGGAGTCATAAACAAACATTACCCACAAAAAAGTGAGAAAGACGATCGAAGAAGTAATAAGCCTAAGAAGCACGGACACTTCTATGAGGTGTTGTGTCCGTGTCAGACATCGATACTTCATGGACACTCCAGGACACATCTTCGAACTTCATGACAGTGTCCATAATTAATTATTTATTTATTTATTTATTTTTTAATTATTTCGGACAATTGGTCGACACATCTTTGACACTTGGCTGACACATCTTGGACACTTGGTTGACACATTTCGGACACTCGACAACATATCCCACACTTTGTCTAATACAATCCTAAAAATCAATATGAACATATATCATTGTGTTCAACATCTTTTTCTTTAAAAAATTGACAATAAACACGTCACAGTATGTAACATGAACAAAAACATAATTACAACGACAAGATAGAATAGAAATATCATATTCAAATAGCTTCACTTTCTAACTTATGTAACTTCAGTATAAACATTATTAAATAATTACAGTGTTATAATTGTCTTAATCAATAGATAAATAAATGAAAATTTATATTTATATTAGCCATGTCCATGCCCTACTTTTCTAGAATTTGACGCGTCGGCGTATCCATGTCGTATCGTGTCTGTGTGCATGACAAATTGATGAAAATTTACCTGTAAGTGGTAAAGTCGTTCCCTGAAAGTAGAAAAGTTCTTCGTCTCCACTATTTCCTATTTAAAGGAAAACTATAAATGTCAGCTCTAGTTGTATTTTATTTTTAATTTTTTATGGTCAAATCAAACCAGAGGAAAGTATCACTAAGAACGAGAAATAATTTACTCTGAATGCGTTCAAGCTTTGTATTGTGCTCAAAGAGTGATGGCAAGGTCCCATCAACCGATGGGCAATGGCCTTTTCTTCTCCAGTCCTCTGGTGCAAAAAGAAGAGAGTAGCGATCAGAATAGGTTCATGCAACAACAGTAAAGATATAAGAAGTTTTGGAAAACAAATCACTTAAAAATAAAAATAAAAAATAAAAAATAAACCTAACCACCTTATAACAACAGGCCTTGAGTTCCACTGGACTGGTATTCATTAAAAATGATATAACACCAGCAATACATCATGCACACACTCAATGATATAAAATCACAATAGAACAGTATAAATGAGTTTGATGATACGGAGAAGTTAAAAAAATGGCAGGAGTCCACTATCAATGGGTTGTGCACCACTTCACAAAATGCAGCTAGTATAAAGCAAAAAATAAATGTAAATGGAAGCAAAACAGAAGCACAAAGATGGACTTGTAATAGCGAGTGCACATAATTTAGAAGGAAAAACTGAGCTGGTGTTTCTCCATTTCCAATTACCATTCAGAACATCTTAATCAGTCAATGGCTACCATAAAATGGATTTACTTAAAAACTATTGGACTAGTTTTGTCATCCAGAAAATCACCAACAATGCAACAAAGAAAGTTGAAGGTAAAAACTTGTACAGGAGTGACAGCAAAATCTTGGACACGAACTTGTATAAACAGCATACAAGAGGATAGCGACTGAACAAGAATATGCAATCACCCCTGCATATGTTCTATAAGATACGTTCGCATAAACGAGTCTGCTTACTTGACTTACAAGAACAATTATGTGGGGAAAAATGGAGTTATCACACAAAGAAACAGGGCGAATCTAGACATTTTACGACATACACCATTATGTAGCAGTAAACCATTTCAGGCAGACAGAATATATGGAAATATAAAACTTTTATGCACATACCTTATTGATAGATCTTTTATAGACCCGGCATCTTGCAGCGGAGAGTGGCTCAACATCATTGATTTCTGTTGTCGGAGCTTCTTGAAGTTTTAATCTGTTAGAAGAAATTAGCCTTGAACCAGTCCGTTTTTTATTTTGCAGTAGGCTTTTGGTGGAGAAAACCCCTAGAGGAGACTGTATAATTAGAACCGTATCTGGATTTGGAGCTCTGCACAGAAAAATCATAACCACAAAGTCACAAACGTAGCTACAGAACGATGATACGCATGCAACTGCTCTTAATAGATGACAGGTAGAATGAAATATGCCCATGAACCCTATTACCCAGAAGTCATGGGAGAAAATGGAAATATGGCTGCAAATTACTCTTAAAAATAAGCAAATAAAATAACAGAGAGAGAGACAGAGGAGTTCTTTTCAAACCAAAAGTAGAGAACTCGAACCTGTGATACGCGCAATATGAAACCATTTTTGTAATCTGTCTCCCATTTTTTTCCAAGCTATGCAACTGCAAATTAAAAGTCATTTATATTACGTGATCAAATTAGCATAAAAATAGCACCATGAAAAAAATAAAATGGAACAACTAATTTATTTTCACCAAAATGCAAACATATAGTATAAAAAAGAGATGAAGTTACAGGCCAAAACTTAAAAGAAAGAAAAGAAAAAAAATGATGGGTTAAATCAATTCAGTTTAAAAAATTGAGTGTTAAATACGATAAACTTGGACAGAACATCACATTAACCACATATAATGTTCAAATTTGACGGTTTAAAAAATTAAGCAGAAATCATTTCTCTCTTTGAGTCTGTGGTATAACTATCAAACTGACGAGTGAAATTTGATGCCTATGGAAAAACTCCTCTATGTGAAGGTGGCATCCTACCACTCCCTAAAGCTGCACCTTGACTTAAACATTGCAGTAGATAGTCATTATCCTTACCCATTTCTCTTATTCTTTTTGGTCATGTCAGGGTTGCTCCTCTCTGTTTTGAGTAGAAAACAATCCTTATGAAGGCACACAATTACCCCCAAACCATATGCATATGGTAGGATAAAAAAGTTTCTTAAAATTTTTATTTTTTATGTTCCAAGTGCATAAACTCAGAAGAATTAATACTGAGAAGTCTGATTCGTCAACTAGCTATCATCTTAGCCAACTCACCAACATCCATGGGTTCCTTACCCATTTATAGTAAAGAGGTAAAATAGTGTTTTTTTTCTTTTCAAATTTAGCTGTAACATAATGACTAGGAAACATAGGATTAAACAACAACTTAGCATCCACGACATAGAATAAGATCAAAATTTTAGTATTTCTTGAAAATGTTAGATGTTCTAAGGGGAGAGAGAGAGAGAGAGAGAGAGAGAGTAATTTTGCCTCTTTGGTTTGAATGGAAAGACTAAAGGCCATAAGATACGAATTTAAAGGACAAATCCATTTAAGGGTATTCTGGTTATCTATTCCTTTCTTTTCCCTTGTGATTCTGATTCTCCCATATTGAATTTGTCAATTTCGCACAAAACCAAACTTCTTTAATATAGAAAATCTCCAAGTCCGCACACAAAATTATGTATAAGAAAATGAGTAGTTACAAAGAAGCTTACAATTGCAATGAAAATTGAATCAATACATTTTCACAATCTCTTGATCACACATATACAAATAAAACAACTATTTTTTAATTGTTCCATAATTGAGAAGATTTTGTAAAAGTAGAAAATTACAGAGATCTAAATATTAAAATAGGTTTTCATTTCAGAATTGAACATAATTCTCCTTCTTGGACGTGAGATTGAGATTCATCATTTTTTAAGGCTCTAATAATCTTACTTCAAAAATTATTTTCTAAAATTTTGTCACTTATAAAGCTTCAAACAATGTATAATTATAAAAAATTACTGGTTGATTCTGCTTTTCTTTAATCATGTGTCACATATAAAAAAATATAAAAAACAAAATAAAGCAATTATTAAAAAAAATGAATAAATTTTGTGAGAATTTATATCCGAACCATTTTAATATTCAAACTCCTACAACCATTTCTTTTGGCCTACAAAACATAAGTCATGCCACACACACAATTCCCATTAAGCAATCAGTTGACCCAAGTTACTAACACAATAACCATGCCTCATGAAGATGGGTAAGAAAAAAACTTGCAATGCAAAAGACTAAGCAGATTGAATATTTATTCAGTGACATGAAAATTATATTGTTAACTATCCTTAATCCAATTATACTTTGCAACCAGAAGGTGTGATATGTTCATCTTGCGAATTAGAAGTACTAATAAAGTCTGATGCAGTTCTACTTATCAAAAATAAAGTCTGATGCACTTCTTCTGAACTCCCAACCCACTTCAACAAATGAAGCACTTCGGGGGAATGTATGTATATATCTATATATGAAGTAAGAATTCTATAACAAATCGAAAGCAATGAAAACTTACTTCCATGCGATACCCAGCCCTTGATGCACACATTGCGTGGTAATAAGTGGAACACTTGCAACATTGTGTGCAGGAACCATGAATTTGCTTACAGATTACACATATCTGAAACTCATAGAAACAAACCATAATTTAGATTCCAACAGTGAAGTTCAAGCATACTAGCAAAAATCATATCATCATCCCAGCATGCTAACATTTTCAACTAAACTATATTAAGAAGAATATATCAATCACAAAAATTTGCACTCTTCACCTTGACAACATTAAACAACAATCATTAGATATATTTTTTTATGATGCAAAATTTGGATAATGGTAGAAGATTATTCATTTTTACGAGAAACTTATGACAGTAAACAGGTTTATAATGGAATATATCATGAATTTGTTTTGTTATATCAGGACTTCCATCTGTAGGATGAGAAACATCATAAAATTTCCATATATAAAAAGAACAGAAAAAGGGTAACTCTAAACCAGTTATAGTTCAAACTACCTTTACAAAAGAGTGTGATGGAATTCTCAAGATTCCAACAGCAGGCTCCATTTTTTCATCATTTGAGAAAGACACTTCAGGTTGAAACCAGGCACAGGTAACATGAACCCACAACGAATCAACATCAGTAGGTTTGAGAGCACCTCCTATAAACAAAAAACAACCATTACAAATTCGAACAATTTACAATTTTCAATAAAAAAATATAAGCTTTACAAATACTTCATCTGTTATCAAATCTTAATTACGCAATTGAACGTAAAAAGGCAAAGGAATTTGATTGGATGAAAACTGGGATTATATATTTGTGGTCAACACATAGTATGCTTCCATAAATGCCCCTGGCTTGTTAAACGTTTCTTGCTATGCTCTATCCACAAAAATCAAAGTCCGGGCAAATTTTAAAAGTTTACAGAAAACAAATTATCCAAAAGTCTTCCTCGCACTGACAAAATGAGATCAATGTCCTGTTAAAGGTCCTTTTATTCAGGATTTCAACTTTCCACCACTCCTACTTACCCACAAAATTCTCTGCAACTTTAAGATGGTAAAGGATAACAAATAGTGACAGAGTGATATAAGGGACACATGCTAGGTAAGGGACATGAGCACAGCACATGTTACCCCTCTAATTTGCACTATTAGAGGGTCAACAGCAGAAAGGAAGATGCCACAAAAATCAAACTTTCTCAGCTACTAGATTAAACTTTTATCAGATTCTTTCAATTACAAAATTAATTAGTTTTGAGACCTGCAGATAAAATGACCAACTCAAAATTTGTTAGATCTAACTCAGTCTAGTGGTCATGCCTTTTACAGGACAGAGGCAACACTCCCGCTTGATTTCTGGTGTCTCACATGCTCGGCAAACCCATGAAGTGAAGTCCCGGACGTTTCTTGCACCATAGCATTCTTGATGGACAGCTATTTGACATCTGAAAGACATCAAATATGAGTAATATAGTGTAGAGCGCTAAATTTCATTACAACGTCTAAGCAAGAAAAAAAAAAAAAAAAAATTTGCTTTTGCTAGCCAGATATACTGCAAAAGTTTCAACTGAAAATGAGAAAGAAAGAAAACTTAATCACTCATATCTCATTCAGCTTACAATGCCATGCAGATGTGACTAAATGCAAAAGATAGGTGCAACGGCAATACTTGAGGGAATTATCAAAAAGATACAGTGACTAGGGTTAATAAAAAACTTCAAACCATCTAATCCATTCTATATCATAGGGTTCTGCCACAGTTCTAGAAAAATGTCCACAATTGGACAGTCCAAAATTGCCTGACCTCACTGTCTGTATAATTTAAGGCAGACCAACTCATGGAGGAATCTGGAAGCTAGCCTTTAGATGGTGCATGGTTAATATTTCTAGATATTGTTTTAGTGAACCAGTTTATTTAGACACAACATACTACTTTTTGACAATACCTGTTGCAGATAATAATTTTGTTGTAGTCCCAATCTTCAACCCATCTACATACGGCACACCGTTCTGTTGTCCACTTGGCATAAACAGGCTCATATTTCTCTGTCAAATAAATATATTGTGAAGTCATTTCACTGGTTGCTACTAAGGCGCAGCAGAACCATATAATTAAATTGAAAAATGAGTATACCTTGCAGAAAAGCAAGCAACTTCTGCTTCCGTACTTTATTAGAAGGCCGTTTAAGAGAATTTGCGGACACTAGAGTGCGTTCATGATACTCTGCTATCTGCAGCATCTGTGAAGTCAAATGAGATTCTATTAGACACATGTATCTCTTATTTTAAATAGCAGTCATATACTGACAAAGATCTGTGTAGTGAAGCATACATAATCATTACAGCAATCAACCTTGCTAATTTAAAACAAGAAAAACGAGGGGGGTCAAGAATCTAGAAAACCAGCAGCTACAATTCTTCTTCCTCTAATATAAACTTTAAAATTAGTACTTATAAAATGCATCAACAATGGACGTATCACTGAGGTAGCAAAGGGGTCAAAAAAAATGAAAACAAGATAACAAGATAAGATTGAAAACAGATACACTATCAATGGGATATAATATAAAATTTTGTTTTAAAAAACTAATAAAATGAAAAATATGGATATTAAGAATAGAATAAATGCTTCTGTCCTGGGTTGGATGCTTGCAATAATTTGATTTTCACTGTCTATTATCTATGATATATCAGCCCTCCAGATTACAAAAAGAGTCAAAGTTCGCCACACTATTAATTTTTTGCACATGCAACATAGTCTTTCTTTATTCTAAAAACTGGTTTCAATGGTGAATATTCAGCTTCCGGGAGTGGCGCAGTCATGTTATCATTTGAGTCTAGCTTCTAAAGAATTTTAGTTTGCCCTATTTTAACAAAAAATGAATTTTCTGAGAATTTCTGTGCATATTTCGTTCCAACAGGACTGCTGTCCCATTTTCCGTTTAGATCATAATTCATCGCGCCCTATGGTTTTGGGTGTGACATGATAATTGACTGAGTAAAAATAAAAAAACACTAGATGGTACATGACCATTGCCAACAACATATGTATGCATCCGAAGTCCTGAACAGGATGTGCCTTGAATTCATGTGACCAAAAGGATATCTATTAAAAAAGACAGTAAACAGGATCCCAGATGTTTAAATGCCTTTTCAGTTTAATTCAACCTGGTTCATAATACACGACCTTCAATTCACCCATATGGACAACCATAATTCTGGACTCCTTAAATTTTGATCCTAATTCTGTTTCTACCCAATATAAACTTCAAACCTAATACAACTATACTAAATATTTTCTTTAGAACAACAATAACAACCAAGCCTTTTCTAAATTACTTGGGTTTGCTACATGAATCCTATGTTTCCATTCTGCTCTTTTTAGGCCATAGCCTTGGTCAATCCACATGCTATCATATCTTTCTTTATTAACTCCACCCACATTAGCTTTGGTCTTCCTCTTCCCCTAGTACCTCCCTCAATGTGGACTATGTCACTTTTCCTAAAGCTCCCGAATGCGATCATTTTCTAATTATATTCATTCTAGACTTACCGCAGATAAATCTCAACATACGCATTTCCGCCACACTCACTTTATGCAAATGTTGTTTCCTACCTGCCCAACATTCGGTACCATAAAGTATGGTTAGTCTAATAGTAGTTTGATAGAACTCCCTTTTCAATCGTAAGGTGGGATACGCCTATACCACAATATACTTGGATGCACTCCCCCATTTAACCCATCCTGCCTTGAAAATATTTTGTTTACGACTTAAAAATCAATTTTACGTTCACATAAATATAAATAAATATGGAATCGGATGGATATGTGTACATGCATTTACAATCTATCATGGTCTCAAGTATCAATACATTTGCAGTTTTCTCAGGCTGGTGATAATTGTGTATATTGGAAGATACTAAGGTCCAATCAACCATGGCTCTGAAAACTCATTTTGGCCATGATATGAAGTCACTCTCAGATGGTACAATGAGTACCAGGATCAATCCTTGACATCTATGCTGCTGTACGCTCTATCAATTTTTTATTTTTTTGAAAGCTCACTATCAATTAGATTAACTGTGGCATGAAATTATAAACCAAAATCTGAAGTACCATGTAATCAAATGATTTTTAAGGGGTTATGAGATTGCAATCGGAGAGGAAGAGCAAATCCTGATTTGTTTTCACTAGCTAGTAAAACTGAAAAAGCATTTCATCTTCTTAAAATCAAACATATATAAAAATACATATGTCTAAGTATACATGCATATATAAATCATCATAAACGGAGACTTGAGGAAAGAAAAATTATGCATAATGACAGAGGTCAATTTAAAGTACAAACCCATTGTTCCAGTGGTAACATTGAACCTTTGACCCTGACACTGGTCTTCCAGTTTTTCACTTTGGAACCCGTATGTTTCTCCCATTCGCTAAGTGCCTGTTTTTTTGTCCCACAAGACCCACACTTGCATACAACTCTAAGACAGAAGAAGAAAAAAAGATAATTAAATGTAAAAAATCACAATACGGAAAGGAGTGAAGCTATGGATTCAGAACTAAAATTATCTGAGTCAGAACTTTCATAGATCAGAATATGATAACATAAATCTTGTATCATCTGGTATAATAATCAAGTAATGAAGCAAGAGAAAGGAAGGAGTATAATTTTCACCTCACAACATCCATGACTTCTTGTATCCTTCCAGAGTTAAACCAAGTTACAAAGAAATTATGAGACTGAAAAAATATTTTCTCCAATTATAGTGTTTTTTTTATATGATTCCTCTATTTAAATAGTTCGAGACAATTAATAAGATACAATAGATTGTGTGTTGGGGTTTTGGGGTGTGGGGGGGGGGGGGGGGGGGGGGGGGGGTGGGGGGGTGGGGGGAAATCAATGTCAAATTTCTTCTCCATTAATTGCTATATCCCCTCTTTAACTCTTCCCTAAAATTTCCTACCAAAAGTTCCAAATTCAGATATTTCCCAACTCCTGAATTTAACATAAAAAATTTTGGAACCTAGATTTGTTACATAACAGAATTTATTAAAAGCAAAGAAACCATATAGTAAAATGCAAAGTGATGCCACAATCAAGTTTACCTATACTGTTATATACACTATGTCTATATATAGGGGGGAGAGAGAGAGATTGAGGTAAGGCAGTGGAGGTAAGGCTGCATAGATTTGACCTTTCCCAAACCCTGCAATGACGGGAATCTCATGCTTGTGCTAGCCCTTTAGAGAGAAATGGAGGAAGCATTTAAGAGCAATGATTTTTAGAATATAATGGGGAGCCAAAGGACCTCAAGAGTATCTCTACAAATATGCAAGGAAATTATATGGTTATTTTTTCATTACAAAATGAGAATCTAAAACTGCTTATTTCAAAAAAGAATATAGTGTTTAGATGACTCTTATGTTCTAGTATAAGTTTGTTTACTTTTGTTAAGGCCAAATGAATTCCACTACAGTCAGCAATGAAATTCCAAGAATCCATGCCTCTAAAATTCAAACATAAAAACAAGGGTAGATTTGCTCATAATCTCTAATTATGATGCAACTACGATCCATTCACACCATAAATGCAATTCGATGAACATATTATTGAAGATAAGAGAGAGAGCTAGGGAGCAAGGAAATGCCTGAAAGGTCAAAGAATCCGTGTCAGACATGGCCCACCACATGCTGGAAATGCAAAATGAAGTGTCTGGATTTTTATTTTTTCCTAATTTTGGGACACATTGCGAACACAGCACAGACACAGCATGGACACGTGTCAGACATGCGTGTTGCATTGTTAGGGAGCTTTAAGAAACATTTAAAAGGAAAGATGGGTCGAAATGTAAATATGATGACTTCTTTTAAAATGATATTTAAAAGACAGGTTCATATGACAGTAAAACTGATTCATATGCTAATTTCTGACTAACTCTAAGATGGACATTTTTAAAAAGAATACCTGTTCTATGATATTCTGAGGGAGAAATTTTGGCATAAGAAATAAATAGCTTGAGATCATGAATTTTATGTCATCCATACAAAAAAGAAGACAACAGATAACCACAGAAACAAATGTAACAGTTTATTATTCCTATAAGAAATCAAATACAGATTCATAAATTTAATTATACTTACAGATGAAGGCTTGGAAAGTAAATGCCTTCTACTCCCAAGCAGACAACAGTCACCTTGTCAGGGAGCACCAATTGACTATTACTTTTGTTATTTCTGTATCACAACATTCAACATCCTTAGACATATTGAAGTTAATTATCCAGTTTCAATCTCAATGGCAGACATGCAGTTGCTGGCAAAATAGACCAACCAAACTTACTTGACCATAGGCTGCCAGTTCTCTGAATCTGATAATTCAAAATTAAACTTGGCTTTGCATTCGGGACAGTAGTAATCGTTGCCCCTCGGATCCTTAGAAACAAAAGCAACAAGTAAGCTAATTTTACATTCTCCATAAATGTGCATATATATATATACACACACACACACACACACACACAGATTAAAAAGAACAATGATGCTGGCTATAGAGAATGATGAGAACACCTTAAAAAGATCACTGGAAATTTTGTCACACTCTGCATGCACCCAAACTTTACAGCCATCACAGCGTACCTAACTCAGCAAACAGATCCAAGCATATATTAGTAAAATAAAAGATCCTAGAACTCATCTACAGTAAGCTAATATACATATATAATCGCAACATTAGTTCAACAGTAGGCTGCCTCACCCAACTCCCACTATCAGAATGATTCCAAACCTTCTTGCATATGCCACAATAATGTTTTTGTTTTGTTAACTGCAACAAAATTCACGCCACTGTTAATATATGGCATCCAGCTTGCAAACAACTTCAATCCCAATGCTAGATAAAACTAGTGTGAAAAAACCCAGGAAAGGCTAGTTAGACAAACCCTGGCACAGGAACTACATAAATGACCGCTTTCAGGAGTTGAAACCTTCATTTTCTTGGGAGTTTTAATTGAAAGGCTCGATCCACAGCATTCACAGGACAGCGTCACTTTCTTTTTCAATACACCCTGCAAAAAGAATATATATATATTTTTTTAAATTTTATAAATACTGAGAGGACCAACCTTAAATCATAAGAGAGAATTGTGATCATAGCATGCAAATCAGAATCCTACAGTTACAGATGAACTAATAACAAGTACACGCCCAACCACTGTAAAAACCAATTCGATAGTATGATTGTCATTTCGACCCGCTTCCTAAAAATGCCAGAAGATCCCAAAGCAATAGTACTAAATGAAGAAAAGGGTGAAGGCTGAAGGTAACTTGCCTGGTTCCTGGAGTCGCATTCTTGATCCTGATTAGAATCAGTAGCCTCTTGGACTCCTCTAGGAAAAGATTCAAGATAATCTAGATTCCCAGCTGCCGCATTAATCTCCACCATCAACATCTCAGTAAAGCCTTGTTCTGCCAGAAATGCCTCATCTATTGCAGACCGAAGATCACCAGGCTTGCTCTCTTTCAAATAGGTCTGCCCCTGAAACCTGAACCAAGCAAAATTTAAGCACGAACCCAAAATAGTCTTGGCACACAATTCAGATATAAGGGAAAGAACAATTATACACCTGTCTACGTATTCTACAAACGGAAATATCATCCCACGTTTAATCCAAGCATAGTCCTGCTCCTCAACATCAAAGAACCTCAATCAATACAAATGCTATTGTTAAACAAACAATTTAAATCAATAAAGTCTAAACATAACAAATCAACTTAGTATAAAAATACTCCTTACCCGTTGCGTACCATTCCCAGAGTAACCAAAGAACATCACACAAGCTGCCCCGGCAACACAAAAATTTAGAACCTGCTGGGGAGCTTGTTTTGTCGGATCAAGAAAAATGGCTGGCCAAGCAGGATAGTTCTTCCCTGAAATTGCCCAAACTATATCACCAGGAACAAAGTCCTCTGGCCCATACAACCCATTTTTTCTCTCAACATCATCCTTCGACAATTTATCAATTCCATTAATGTCTATAGCTTCATCCAGTTCTCCAACTGGAGACTTCTCAATATCAGCCAATTGCTCATGGAGTGATGTTAGAGAGCTACGAGAGCTCGAATACTTCCTAATGTCAAAACTCTTCAATCCTTCACATCCAAATTCTTCTCCTTCTTCCTCCAACAATGTTGTGACTTTTCGGCACTGATATCTAATTTTATACTCGTTCTGCTGTTTACTTGCAATGTGGTCATGAACTTTAGGGTTTTTGAAGGTGGGTTTCTCCTTGCAAGGAGTAAATTCAGGGTCCAAACTCGATTCACGAACACTAGGTTTACTCTTCTCTTTCTTCCAATTATCAAGAATTGAATCATTGAATCTAGAAGGGAGTACCTGAACCCTCCCTCTTGACGTTCTCACCAGAGGTGGCCGTGGAGCCTCGGGTGCCCGATTACTCCTCCCATTCACGCCCTCTATGGACTTCGACTCCGCCTCGTTGGGGCAGTACGAAACCTCCGTGAACCACGACGCCGCCGCTATGCTGTCAAAAGCTTTCTCGCCAGCGCCTAATAGGTGTCGCAGTCCATAGTCACCGAACGGAATTACGCCGGCGGCGACTTCCCCCAACAGATGCAGAGGATAATAGCCGTTCACCTTCCGTTTCTTCCGATTCCCCGAATTCTCGTCGTCCTCACCACCCGAGTCGCCGACTCTGCACCGCTTCAGACTCGGCATTGCCGATTTCAAGTTCCGCTTGATTATCATCCTCCCCAATCACAACCCCCCGATACCTCCAAACCCAAATTCCGCCACCAAAACCCCCCAATTTCACAGAAAGAACCCTAATTTTGATCCCTACAAACCCTAATTTCAGACACAGACTCGAACAGCACACAAACTTCGCAGAGACGCAACAGAAGAAAAACCCAAAAAAAACAAAAATTTCCCGAGAAAGAAACAATAAAGATGGAATGAGAATCCAATCCAGAAAACACGCGACAGAAATCAGAGGGAATTGCGCGGGAAAATCCTCTCTGATCGAGAAAGATCGAAAAACCAGTCCGCAGAGCCTACCTAAATAGGGATCTCTGTTCGAACGAAGAAGCTCTTAACTGCTCAATAGACTTGTCCACGATAAAACACCTCCTTATAATATTATATTACTTAAATCATAAATCCCTATATATCTCTCAATATATAATTTTTTTTGGGATATATATCTATATGTATATATAGAGAGAGAAAGATCATATACACTGAAAGTTAGAGAGAGAAAATGAGACGAGGGGGGAATAAGGATGACTGGCTTGAAAGAGAGGAGAGAGAGACAGAGAGAGAGAGAGTTGGGTCGGTGTTATGATTACAATAGTATGTTGTGGCTAAGTGAATTAGAGCGCATTGAGTCCTGACCGGCTTTCGAGTCCAATTCTGAGGCAGTGTGTGTCTGTGTGTGCAAGGTGGCAATCTGGTTCTCACTTTTTAATGTGAGACATGGTTTGATTTTTCAGCAGAAGAGTGTGTTCCAATAAAGTTGGAATTTTTAATGAGCGATTGAACATTATTTCGAAAATTCAATTCTTGTTCTTTGAGAATTGGGAATTGGGTTTTTGTAATTTTACGTCAATTTAGCGTTCGAAATCATTTAATTTTGCATTGAATTTGAATTGTTACAAAATATGTAGATTTTGATGGGATTTTAATGGGTTAGAGCTTTGAACTCGTTTAGAATGAGTTAGTCGGGCTTTAAGAATGGATGGCACTAGTTCGAAAAAATGGCGGTATGAGTGAATATATACAAATTCCTCGGAATTTATGTGTTTTCCCACCATTTTAATTGGTAGGGGTATTTTGGACTTTTGGAAAGCTTTTTCCATGATGCAATTGTTAATAAAATTTTATGTAGATATATATATTTTCTCTTTTTTAATTTTTTTGAACAGCTTTTGGAATAGACCAACCATGGAAGTCATTGACTACTCATCGTTTCAATTTATGAAAATTTCCAATATGGTGCTGTTGGTGGGATTGGTGTTTTACGGGTCGGGTTGGTACTTGGGCCGGGTTGAATAGGATGGGATGGTCCACACCGGAGAAACATTGGCCGGTCACCGGAATGTAAGACACCACCTTCAACTATCACAATCACAAACTTCTACTGATGAGGAGGAGGAGGAGGAGGAGGAGGAGGAGAAGTACTATAGTACACAACTTTAGAGAGAGAAAATGTGAAGTTGTAGAGAGAGAAAACAAGTTAGGGGTCCTTGGGGACAAAGTTGTCCCATGATCTTCCCGTACTGGGAAATACAACAAGTACACACAACTTTAGGTTTGTTTACTTTTAATAGTTAATTGTGTGACTGTGTGAAGTGTGTGTGTGACACAGCTTTTGTTGATGGAAGGAATGATCAAAATTAGGGGACAGGATTGACTTGTGGTTCTGGTAACGGTCGATGTAGATGGACCGGGTTAATGGGCCCAGTCAATTTGTTGTGGGCCATAGTGGAAGTGGTGCTTATAATGGAGGTTAATGGATCCAACATATTGTGTGTGTGTGTGTGTGTGTGTGTGTTTTGATTTTGAGTCTGCCTGAGAAAGTTATGGTATGAGCTTGTTCCAAGGAAGTTGTGAACCCTAATGTCTCATGAAAATTGACAAATTTGAGTGAAAAAATGGCGTTGCCAATCATGTAATCATTCATCCAGCTAGGAAGAGTGTTTTCAATGGTCCGAACTCCGGCCGGTGGCGATACCGGAGAAAATTAGGGTTTTGGGCATGCCTTGTTTTTTAAGTAGGGTCTAAAATTTGTTAGTGAATAATTTTTATTTGATTTTATTTTTAATTTTTGTTTGGGTTACATTGATTTTGTTCCAAGAGAGGATTTAGTGTTATTGTAGAAGAAAAAATAATGTTTGGACTAAAATATTAGTGACTAGTAAAATGGGTTATTTTGGTGGTTGTTGGCGTTTACCTTCTTGGCCTTCCTACACGCAGGGTAGAGGAGAAGAGGGATGAGGAGGAAAAGGAAAAGGAAAAAGTGTTTGGATGGATGGAAAATGAAAGGAGGAGATGGGTTGGTGACAGCTGTCCTTTTATGTCTGGATAGTGATTTAATCTTAGTGATATTATGAGGGAACTCTAGGTGTTGTTTGTTATGTGTGACTTTTTTGAGTCCGCCTGAGAAAGAAATGGTACGAGTATTCCAACCCTAATAATGTCTCATTAAAAAGTTTTGTTGTACTTTGGCGCTTTGATGCTTCTGTTACCATAAAAAAATGGTTTTGGTAGTCATTTGATGATTCATCCGGCTAGGATGAGGACTTTTGTTTGTCCGATCGCCGGCCGGAGACTCGAGGAGAAAATTATTATTTTTGGCATAGTTTAGGTAGGGTCTAAAATTTGTTAGTGAATATTTTGTATATATATATATATATATAGTTTTGGTTACTCTGATTCTGTTCCAAGAAGGGATTTCAATTACAGAAAAGATATAATTTTTATTTCGTAAATTTTATATTTTGTTTGGATCACTATGGTTCTGTAACTTCTGTTATTGAAGAAAAAAAATGATGGTTGGACCAAAATATTAATGACTAGTAAAATAATTTTTTGTTTGGATGTTTGTTGCTGACGTTTATCTTCTTTGTTTTCCACAGTTAGGGTAGAGGAGAAGGGAAAAGGAAAAGGTGTTTGGATGGATGGAAAATAAACGGGGGAGATGGGGTTGGTGACAACTGTGCCTGTAAGTCTAAAAAGGTTATTTAATTTTAATCTAGTTAAATTATGATTAAGATTTTTTGGCCATGCATTAGTTAAGACTTAAGAGTTAAAATTTGTACTGTGGATGGGTCTGCAAATTTAATTGGATTCAATGATGCTGTCATAAAAAAAGATTTTTTTTTCAATTGAAGAAATATGGGAGATGTGTTGATATTGAATAAAAAACTTTTGTACAGACCAAAAAGATCATGAAAAATAAATAAATAAATAACAACAAAATAGTACATGGTGGACCAGCTTTACTTGGGTTACTTTCATGGGTTTTCAGCTGCAGAAAGTGAAGACGACGACTAAGGATGAGGAAGGGACTTTTATTACCAGTAAAATGGAGATGGGCTAGTGATAAGTGTGTTAAAAAAATATTTAAAAAATGATTTATCTATATACTTTTATTTTATTTTATATTTTTTATATTCATTTTGTGGGACCTTTATTTGGGTATGTTTGTTGCTATTGAATATGATGGAGAGAGCCCAAGATGGCGAAAAGGATCAAAGTCAAATCATATGCCGAATTTGGGGGGTGAAGATTATGATATTTTTGGTCTTTTTTCTTTTCTTTTTTTTTTATATTTTCTGGTTTTACTTTCTTTTGGTGGGATTTTCCATTAAAAAAATACAGAAATGTGGAGATGTTGAAGAAGAATAGAAGGGGAGGTGGGTTAGGGACAAGTGTCCTTTCAAGTTCGAGGGGAATTTGGTATATTCTTTGGATCGGGATCTTCTATTGGCCCAAACTGAAGGCATGTGTTGAATTTGGATGATGAAGACTGTGTGGGCCAGTCAGTTTATGGAGGGTGTCAAAGGGGAGGAATAATAAGGACCAGATCTGTGTCTTGAATTCAGATAGAGGGGATTGAATTGGATAAATATATATCTATATCTATATATATATATATATGATGTGATTTCGTTTTAGCCGGTGTATCATCATGTATGTTGTGTTCTGGTATGGTCCCTGGCCTGCTTGGACATAAATGTTGGATCATGTGAATCACTTGTAAAACCCTAAAAAAGTCTCTCTCAGAGCATCTAACTGCTCACCTTTGGTTGTTTTGAGTCCAGACTATGCTAATGAAATCTGGCCTTTTACTCTGCTTCAGCGTGTGTTGTGTGTGTGTGGGGGGTGATTTTTCTCTTGTATACTATATACAAAGCCCACTTTATTACAAGACTTTGGGACTGCTTAAACTAGCTTCCTTAGAGCATCTCCGATTGCCTCTCAAATGAGCTCTTAAACTCAAAATATAATAGGTGGATGAAAATAAAGCACTCGAATGGAGTCTCAAAAGAACTCTCATATTTTGAGTTTCTAGCAGCTCTCAAATGACCTCTCAAACTCAAAATATAGCAAGTGGATGAAAATAGACACTCCAATGGGCTCTCTCAAAAGACCTCTTATATTTTGAGATTGTCGATGCTAAAATGAAAATAAAGAACTCCAATGGGCGGCTCTCAAAATATGAAATAATTGTTGTGTCAAAATATAACATTTTGTATGAAATGCATAATTGAAGCAGAATTGTAAAAATATAGCATTTTAAATACTGTAACTTCTTTCAAAATATAGATTTGGAATAGAAATATAACATTTTGCATTGGAGATGCTCTAAAAAGTCTAAAGACAAACATATATTAAATGCAATACATATATATATATAACACCAAACATGACGCCAAGAAAATATATATAACACCAAATGTGACGCCACGAAAATTTCATTTGACCTATGATTCAAAGCCCCCGGTCAACACCACTTTGTGCGTAGGCACTTTCTAAAACTCACTTGAATTATATTCCCAGTTAGAATAATCAGAATTTATTCGGAGTTGAAATTTCACTTGAGAAGTCAAATAAATAAATTACAATTCGTTAATTTATGTTTTGCTGATGATTGATATATATATATATATATATAGTCATCATGAATAACTTAAACCATTGTGGATCCCACACAAATATATATATATATATATATATATATATATATATATTTGTGTGGGATCCACAATGGTTTAAGTTATTCATGATGACACCCTTGGCTTGAAGAGGAAGATCACAACTAAGGCTTACAGTGGAAGCTTCATATTAAGGCTTATAGTGGAAGCTTCATTTTGAATCTTACAGAGGAAGCCTCATTTTGAGCCTATAAATAGGCATATATGTATTGATTTGAAAACTATTACAGAAAGCATATAAATGAATTCCTCTTGATTTCCTTTTTCTTGTTTTATTTATCTCTCTTAATTCTACTATATATAAATACATATATTTATTATACATTATCAGCAAGAGCTCTATCCATCTCAGATTTGAAGAAGAAGCTCTCTCTCCCTCTTTTTATCTCCATTATATATCTCTTTTGTGATATTAGTTTTGATAAATTGTTGGGTTTGTTTGCTTTATCAAAGAAAATTGTATTTCTGATTTCAAAGGGTAAAAAAATTTTAATTATTGATTATTGTTCATAAAATAATTTTGTTCACTTAAATAATATATGTGATCATACTATGGTCGGTTCTACCACCTTTATTATTTAATAATTTACTAATTATGGTCTGTTTTACCACCTTTATTATCTAATGATTTATGACCAGTTTTACCACCTTTATTATTTAATGATTTATG